CTTCTCAGGCCGCACAAAAAGTCCGCTACGATGACTCGCACCGCGACGTTGACTACCCTGATGACTCTCTTGTCCTACTCTGGACGCCGTATCGACGTGAAGGTTTGTGCGAGAAGCTCCTCCCACGATACACAGGACCCTACAAAGTTCTCCGCAAGGTCACCGACGTCGACTACCTCATCACTCCCGTTCAACCGCACTCATCCTCTGCTACACCATCTACTGATGTTGTTCATGTGTCGCGCCTAAAGCCCTACTATACTGCCAGTCCTGATTGACTTAGGGGCGCCGTGACGGCGCTTTGTTCGCCGGGGGTGATATTACGAGGCAGTGGGCATGGCTCTACCGTCGTGGACAACAGTTCGATGAAAAAGAAGTGGACTCGCCGCGCGAGAGACTGGCAGCTCTGAAGCGTCACTTTGGCATGTAAATATAGGAAATACGCTCATTCCTCTCTTCCGTGTGTTTGCGAGCTCCGTAACAATATTGTTCGCATGTCCACACTCATGTTATTGCTTGTTGTTTTAGTGAAAATGGATTATTTATTGAAGGAGGTTCCCACAGGCAGTTTTTTTTTCTTTCTTAACTCTGGTACCTCTTGCAGCCATATTCATTTGCCATAAAACCGTACGAGATACTTGAAGTAGTCTTAACTTTGTATGACTAATATTTCAGTAGCAAGTCAATTACACCAAAAAACGAATAATACTATTAAAAATTGCAAGTATATATGACTTTCCTGTTGTGATAAGTTGCAAGTTGTTTAAGGAAATAAATAAGTTGATTATTTTGCTTGCACCGGCATTGAATACTAGTGTTTGGATCTCCTGCAAGCCCCCCCCCCCCCCCCCCCTTTTTTTTTTCTTTCGCTTTTTTTCTGTGAATTTTAGTAATATTGGTGGGCCTTTTTGGGAACTGCTTGTCATGGGCTATAAAATAATTGCAATAACGTCACAAACTGAATGAAGTTTACACCGAGCTTGCACACTTGCATAGCATGATTGATATAGCGTTGATTGGTGGCTCCTTACGCTCTGTTCACATGTTAGTTTCAAGGAACATGGGGTTATGTAACACGTCATAATCAGTGTGCACAATTTTTAATGATCAGAGCACTGTAATACTGTAAATCAGTTTTACGGAAGCCTGTGAGAATTAGGAAGGGATATGAAAGGGAAATAAATGTGTTGATTCTGCCCTCTAATACTTCAACAGAACTAATTTTACGTCAGCCAGACAGCCTTTTCTCTGTGAAATCCTGAATTATCTAATCTGAAGCTGCGAGCTGAATATAGTAAACGCCAGTTTCTACCTTTAGGTGATGTAATGAAATGAAAAAAAAACTTTTTTTTGTATTGCAGAACGTGCTCAGGGACCGATAGGGAATACCGGGCGGCCGCTTCACGGAAAGAGGGGGGGGGGGGGTCATTTTTCAGGGAAAAAAAGGCGGAAAGGTCAACAAATGGGGTGAGGATTGAGTGTACAATAACTGTGTCCCATCGCTGCTCGGCTTGGAGTAAGCTCTTGAGGGACCTCTCCCAGTTGCTTGAGGTAGAGTGGAGAAGAGGGTTTCTACACTCCCAGAGGACGTGTGCGAGTTTCGCCGGATGCCCGCACGAGGAGCATGTGTCGGTGGGGTCGGGACAGAAAACGTGAAGCTTGGCAAGGTTTGGGTACGTGTGCGTTTGTAATAAGCGTAGAGTTAGCACCTGCGGTCTGTCAAGTTTGTGATGTGGGGGCGCAAGAATGTGGTGTTCGAAGTAAAAGTGTTTTGTGATCTTGCTGAGTTAGTGATGTAACACGAATAAATATTTATAAACTTGCCATGTGGTAAAAAAGGGTTCTGAAAAATTTTTTAGTTTCTTTTTCATGCGTTTATGTACAGTGTCACCATGGAAATAAACTTGACCTTATTCGAGTTGATTTTTTTCACAATTTGTTATTTGTAGAGAAGAATTCTCAACATTCTAAGTGGCTTGTAATGAAACACTATTGATGTTCCTTGTGCGTGTTTCATTTGGTTATTGGAAGCGTTTCTCGTCGTGTGCACGTGTGTACATGTGAACTTGCAACGCAGAATCCATCTCAGAGATATCCCGAAGGAACGGGGACACTGTAAAGTATTTGTAAGAATAAATTACAGGGTTATCGCAGGATCCTCTTCTCTAACTCTATCACACAGGATCGCTCGATGTCGTTCTAACCACAATGAAATGCGATCGCGCCACCACAACGATCGGGAATCGAACCCGAGACCTTCTTTCCCGGTGACAGGGCATGTGCAGCAGCAGCACTGCACGGTTCTAACGGCAAGAAAAAATGCCCAATTGCAGAGCCCGATGGTCGGTCGTGCCGATGCCCCACCGTCGCGTTGCTGGTGTCGTCGCGCTGTCGACCGAATATGGTTATTAACGACGCCCAGTGAGGGGCGGAAGGATGCCGTGAAAAATGGCAGCCCGCCTCCCTCACTCTCTCTTTCCTTTTTCTTGTTCCTCATCCTATTTTGTCCGTCGTAACCAGCGTGCTTCATCCCTTGAAGCCAGCGTCCTTCCCTACAATCGCTCCTCTCTTTCTCCCTCTCTTGTCAGAGTGCTTCTACGTGCTTTGCCGGCCGAAGGCACAGATGACGTGCATGCAAGGATGTATCGGGCCGGAAGGGACACGCTCGGTGACACCGTTGCCCTCACCTCCGTACACTCGGTATTGAACGAAGTTTCGCTACAACGAAAGGAAATACAGCCGTGCGCGAACTTGGCAGCGATCCCATAACAGCAATGACATTGCAGTCATTAAATTACGACCTGTTGTAAGGAGTAAAGTAAGTAGTTACTTTCATGGGGCTGGTAATTTAATAACGTACTGAATTACTGAAGGTTAGCAACTTGAAGAAGATTACTCACTACGTTTGCAAAAAAACGTCGGACCGAAATACAGCATGTCCGCTACCTTAAAAAGCAGAAATAGTATTATAGCAAAGACAAGCTAATCTTAGTGCTATGTGTGAAGAGTTGGAAGTTTAGTAAGGACCTCTCAGGTTTGAATGTATGTGTGTTCTAAATAAAGTGTATACACGAGTCGTTCACGGGTGAACCTTTGTTGGATTTCAAACTATAATATACGTAGTTTTGCTTCTTTTTGAGAGTATATTCAAATTTAACCTCGTATACTTTCGGTGAGCTGTGATTTGTAGTATAACGTACTTACACCTATTAAAACTCTACATAAGTAATTGGTCACATAATTCAGTTACGTTTTTGGGAGTAATAGGTTATCTCTAGCCGTTTGTATGCGTGATGTCTACGGCTCTCGTCAATATAAAGAAGTTATTTTTCTCGACATAAATGAAGAAAAAAATAAAGAAAAGTTGAAGAAACACGAAGCCATACTCAATTCCTAGCAAAAGCAGTTCGGAAGCTTCTTCAAACACTTTCTCGGGACCATAAGCAGTTCTCGGGACAATATAATGAGTGCCTTAACGCAAATTCCAGGTTAAAAAGCTATGTTGGGTCAGTCACTCGTCGGAGCCCCGCGCTGTGCGCTATTTTGGATGCCGCTGTACATGTAAAAATAACGTTAAAAGTTCGACCCTGCATATCAGGGTTCTTATCGATGTGGGTTTGGAAACGCACGTACGCGAAGGTGATATCAGCCAGTTTACCAAGGCCTTCATCTCGTAGACCGGTTTCTGTTGTCACCTGCTCTTTTATCTGTGACAATGAGAATGGTTGGCACAATGACACACATGCAGGCGTGAAGCTTTGATTAGACCCTGGTCGAGGTTTACGAGCGCGTGGTTTCGATCGGGAGTGTTTAGCATGGAGATTATTAGATGCATCGTGGGCACATTATTATATATGTATACATTACTGATTGTTTTTGGGACATTATTTCTAGATATGATGGCACCATATTTAATATTGTATTGTTTTGTTCTTGTAACATAAGTGTTGGCGTTTATTTTTTATCTTTTGGTGTTCGTTTGTTCCTTTTATATTCTGACCGACACAATCAAGAACCGTTCGAATACCGGCTTCGGCGGCTGCATTTCCGGTGGAGGCGGAAATGTTGTAGGCCCGTGTGCTCAGATTTGGGTGCACGTTAAAAAACCCCAGGTGGTCGAAATTTCCGGAGCCCTCACCTACGGCGTCTCTCATAACCATATGGTGGTTTTGGGACGTTAAACCCATCATATCAATCAATCAAGAACCAAGGAGTCGCCGTTTCCTTATTACTGCGCTAACTTATTCTTACGTCATACAAATAAAAGACCAGTACCTTAGAGTTTTGTTCCAGGAGCTTACTTTTCAAATAAACTTTCTTCTATAACGCAGACCAAGCATAAAACAGTTTACGGTTTGTTTTTGTTTTTCACTTTGCAACACGTTGATCTTTTTTTTTTCTTTAGAAGTTGTGCTTGTTCATTAAAGAATCGGCTGGGCAGACATCGGCATCTTGATTTCGTGTAAAACTGTTTCGCCGGAACGATGAACATCGGACGTAAAACTGACGCTTGTATGTCTCAGTTGTGCAGCGTCTTTAGAGTACATTTCTTGTTCCCTACAATATTTGATCATGTTTCACACACTAAAACCATGACATGACAGAGACGCCACAGTGGAGGGCTCCAGAAGCTTTGCCCACCTGGTGTCCTTTAACGCGCACTGACAGCACACAGTACGTGGGCCCCTGGCCATTTGCCTCCTTCGAATTGCCGCCACCTCCGCCGAGATTCGATCCTGCAACCTTCGAGTGTTTTGTGTTTGCTGTCGGCGTTAGAATTACCATAGGCATAAATCTTCAACAGAAAAAAAAGCAGGCAAGAAGGCCCACTGACGTCAGTGTATTTCGTGAATTATCATGTGACGAAGTTCTTGCCGTAATTAGGTACAACGTGACGTATAACGCGGGTGTCATACGTACTATGTAGTGTATAAGCAGAATGACAGGAAACAAAGTGTGCATTGATTCAATGATAACAAGCCCTAAAGAAGAAGCAAAGACTGCACGATCGAATGACGAATTTATTAGGTGAGTATACTATGTACAATAAAATATCAATATGATCCGATAAAGGTAAAATACAGAGGCGTATCATGACTATGCTATGACGTCACGCAAGCGTCTCGAACAAGTGGCGCTAAAAACGTTTTTCAGAACCGCTCAAGGGGGCGAACGTTCAATGCTATGTACAGTTTTTGGCACCTCGACACTGCAAAGCCTGTCTACAGTTGACGACTGAACGCCGAGATTTCGAAGTCTCGCTAACACGTCGAACGCTGACCAAGTCGGTGGCGTCACGGTTTCTGCGTGTGGACGACGATGACGGTGTGTCTGAGGCCGACACCATCGGGCGACGATGTCGAGGCCTCCGAGAGCAGAGTCCTGCATGTGTCGAGGAATGCGCCCCGCTTCTCCATAGGCATGTACTGGATCAGCCCGAAGAATGGCACGTAGCACTCTGCACAAAAGAACGATCACTGTCAGAACAAATTATGTCACAGACATCTACTCCCGCGTAATTCACACTAGCCTACGAGACACTGAAAACGGACGCGCGTTCTTGGCGAGACGTTACTAATGCATGCAGAGATTGTGTCTGAAAAACAGTGTCCAGCGCTTCGCGGTTGGTATAAGTAAAACCAGCTTAGGCCACGCTGCCGATTGTTAGAGCCGAGTTTCTTGAAGACTGTACGTACAGGTGAAAGTACACGTCGCTTCGTAGCTTCGTCGCTTCGTACCACGGAGAGAATGATGATGAGTGGGGCGAAGCGTCCGTCCTTCCATTCATTCTTACTTCCGTCTTCGCAACCATCCATGCGTCCATCCAACATTTCATCATATACAAGTACCGCCATCCAGCGGACATTCCAAGGACTAAACTAGAGGTGACTACTACTACAACGACGACACGGGACGTACGACCCCCAGCGTAAGGAGCTGCGACCCTAAAAAATTGTTAACAACTTCAAGTATTTGGTACTCTACTATGGGATACCATTAAATCGTCCCGTGGGCCTCACACTCGTTGAGGCCATGAAAACGCAGCTTTCGAATACGAAGAAGTGAAGGTAAACTACCAGGCGTTCCTTTGCTCTTGTTTCCGCTAGTAAAATGAATAGAATTTCTACTAATGGTCCTAGTTATGGTCTTCAATTCAGAACAAACAAAGAAACAGCACAAACAATGAATACGGAAAAGCGAGAAGACTTTGGCGTTTCCTCCGTTCGCCCAATGAATTGTTATACTACACTGTACAAGATTATCTTAAATCACTTGTGGGGCCTATAGTTTGTAATGCCTTGCATGTGTTTCATTTGGCCGCGGCTCAGTATCGGAATTCAGAGACCGAGTTCGTGACATCGGTGTCATGACATGGCCGCTGGATCAAAACTGTGGTCATGGGCTTCACTAGAACATACGCGCTAATTGAGTGAATTGTACAGAGACACCACGTAAGCTTACGCAAAACAGACATACAAAATAGGACAGAAAGAATGTTGCACTTTGTAACCTGTACGCGGCTTGCATTGAAGTCACTGAAACTGCCCTGTACGAGCACTGCATGGTGGGATGTTTGCGACGTCAAGCTAATGTTATTAGTGTGGCCACATGCATTTTCTTTTGTTATTACTAAAGCACAATGGCTAGTAACTTTGTGGCCACGTCGTTATTATACCAAGCAGGTTAGGTTCCTCGGAATCGGTTCTTAGCGTAGCCACGGGATGGCTTAAGCTCTCCCATAGTAGAGGAACTAGTACTCTAAATCGTTACAGACTTTTTGCTAAACGCAGGTTAGCGGCGGTGCGACCATATGCTGTCGTTACGTCATCAAAGCCTAAACATTAGTGAACCACTACGTTATAAAGCGGCGTCCATGATGCCATGTGAAATGTATCTATTGATGAGCCTTCACCAGGCGCCATATAGACGCCGGTTGACGTACGACACGACGGTTGGGATGATGTCAAAGCAGCATTAACTTCTTCAAAGTCATATCTACACCCCCGGAATGTTATTGGAATATGTGAAAAAAATATCAAGAAAAGAAACTTGCACATGACATTAACCTGATGTAGCCAACACCGAGGAGCGTCTCTACATGTTGGTAACTCCTAAATGGCGGTTTCGATGACGTCAGCGCAAGCCCTACAACGTACCCCTACAACTTTCGATTCCCGTTTGGCTTTTGTAGGATAAAAGCTTACCGAGCCAGCTGTCCAAATTGGGCATCGTCCATATGGTGTCGTACATTCGGCACGAGACGAGCTTCATCCCGGAGGCGGCGATCTGATGCTGCTCTTCGGTCGCTACCATCTCTGGTATGGGTTCACTGTAGCAGAATCGATCGGAAAGCAAGTGCCTCGGATTCTGTGGAGATAAGCATCCACAATAGAACACCGTATTGAAGAAAACAGAAAAAAAAGTAACGATAGGTTTCGCAGTTGTAAATTTGGTTTTGCGGTGAACAGACAGAAAAAAATCTAGAAAAAGCAACGAGATTAACCGGTAAACAATTTTCTCGTATGTTACCCAACGTGACGGGAAGGAAAAGCACAGAGATAAACTATGTGTTCGCGAAGCAAAATAGATGAGGGTAGGAACGGTAATCCTTGACTCGCCTTTATTTTTTTTATTAATATTAAGTAGGACACTCACGAGAAATCAAGCTTAAATGAGACCATGATTAACGTCTATTGTGACCTTCGATTGACTGCGCTGGCGTACAAGCGGTTGGTCAACTAGCTATCGATTACCGACGTTTGCATGCGGGCACCGCGTATAACGATAGTTTAGGAAGGTTTGAAAAAATTCTCTCAGACCTGAGAAAACTTAAATTGAGTGAAGTACACGAAAAAAAAAGATGGTACCGGTGCCAGTTTTTTTTTTTTCTTCGCGCACTTCATCGTTAAATTTGCACCAATAGATTTACTCTGGCATATAAGAAGCAGTAAAAAGTAGCTCAAACCAGGAATCTTTCAGAAGCACAGTGGGCACATGCGCAATTTGTTTTTTCAAAAAGATCAGGAAATACGTGATGCCATACTAACGTACCGGCCAGGTGCAGGTTAGCTCAATTCATAAAGGTGCGCTTTGAATTTCTTCTAATGACCCTCTTTCTACGAACCCAATGATTGCAGAGTTCTACTCGCAGTATAGTTAACAGAAATTTCACTGTATACATACTACTTAAAAAAAAGGGCCAATGAGCGCGAATCTCTCCACAGCCTCTGCCCTCCCCCCCCCCCCCCCCCCCCAACCGCTTTCTGCTGGAAACCAATTGTCTTTAGCTTTATCTAGAACAGTATGTGTAGTGCTCCCGAAAACAACTTCTCACCGAAATTTTTAATGTGCGTTTTAGCTTAAGCAAGGAATTTCGACCACCCCGACGTTCGCGTGAGAAGGATACTCACAGGCAGCCAGTGCCGCCACTTGCTGCTGTGGTAGAGCCGGTACCACACGTCAGTGATCGCGGCCCCAGCGAACGACACCGTGAGACATTCGCCGCCTTGCTTCAAGCAGGAGTGCACGTTGCGGTACGCCCGTGCCAGGTCTCGCACGTAGTGGAAGGTCATGAACGAGTAGACCCGGTCGAACTGGCCGTACGCGTCCACGATGCGATTGATGCCGTCCATCTCGTTGCGGAAGTCGCAGTCGATGTCCAAGACGTCGTAGACGACGTCCCGTTGTTTGAACTGCGAGCTGGCGTAGTCCACCATGGCCGCAGACTTGTCGGTGGCCACCAGGCGTCTGCAGGGGCGCAGTCGAGGCAGCAGGGCTTCCGTCGTGAAGTTGCCCGGTCCGCATCCTATTTCTAGGTACTGGAAGTCTCTCGTCGCCGGTCGCCTGAACCGGGTGCTCTCCAGGGCGCTGAGGTTGTCTCGGTAGTTGTGCATCTTGAGCCAGAGAAAAGACTTGGGATCGCGTTCGTCGCTTTCGATACCCCTCCTGGTTTGGGGTGTTGATGTTGCTACGGCCTGCAGCATAGACCTGCGCCTCGTAAGCCTAAATGTTTTCTCCAGGCAGCTCATGGCTGTATACCGTACTAAAGAATGGGCGATGGCGAAAATCCGAGAGCAACAGGAAGCGTTTTCCCTGACGCGTTCGTGACCGAGGTATATATACAAAAAAGGACAGGAACACCGCGTCGCTTCTTTATCGGGGGGGGGGGGGGGGGGGGTCTTTCACTGGAGCTATCACGTTGTGTCTCCACCTATATATGATAACAAGTTGTCGGGCAGATTTAGAGCCCACTCAGCAGTTTCTATTCATCGGTTAAGAGGGCGGTGATAGCAGCTGTTTTCAGATGCGAACACGTTTTATTTTTTCACTAGCCTGTGTAACGCCGACCCTCCGTTCACCACCATTGCGCATGCTAGTGCCTCGTTCCGGCCCAGGAAGACACCTGTAAAACAGTCACCTCCTTCCCCATCTCTAGCCTCGCAAGGCCGACACAAGCAGGGCATGAGCAGGGTCAAAAAGTGACTGCTCGCGATGCGCAGCAATTCGCTGACCTGGATCGCGTGTTCGTAATAGAGTCGAAGGCATCTGTACTTCGCTTTCGCTTGATGAGTGCCAGCGTCAACGTTGCCGCCAGTGTAAGCGTTAGCGTCCACTGCTTCGCATCTACACATGGTTCCTTTTAGCCTGAGATGGTCCTAGTTTTTTTTTTCTTATCTGACGCATGAAACAAGAGCCCAATTTACGGGACTGCACTATTAACGGTGGAATGTGTTTTGTTGCGGCTGCTGCGTACGGCTTATCAGCCACCGACGCCACCACTTCTTAGCACTCTGTGTTGACTTACGCGGGGTATCGTAGAGTACACGCGTCGAACCTGTTTCGCGAACCTCTCTTTGTTTTCTCGAACGACGACAGTCAATGTGGACCGTTATCAAGCGATGATAGCAATGAAAAAGACTGTAACGTATACATCATCACCAACAACGAGTCGTCCGAGAGGGGCGGTGTGTTGACTTGCACTTCATTTTACTCGGCCAAAAGCTGGGACAGATACTTTCGCCGTCAACAACAACGAAACAAAAATACAGCCTGCTCCATGAATATATCCGTCAGGCAGCAGTTAGCGCATGAGCGTATGCGATTGGATAGCGAGATCTCATGACGTAAATCTGCCGCTAGATTTGAAATACGCGCACTTACACATTTCGAGAATCATCATAATAATCATCAGGTCATTTGATTTGTTTATTTGAGCACTGTCCCCCTCTGGGCTTGTGATGTTCGTGATGGCGTGCGTGACAACAACAACAACAACAACTACTACTACTATTACTACTACTACTACTACTACTACTACTACTACTACTACTACTTCAGCTAGTATTTGTAGTAGTAGTAGTAGCGTGTCCTACTTAATAATAACGAAAGATAATAATGGAGATAATAATTTTCGGTGCCTTGCACAAAGGTGTCTCTCATACTTATGTCGAGGTATAAGGGCATAAAATCCCAACAATTCTTTGTTACTAAAGAACCGAGACAGAAGAAGCAAGAAGCTAAATAAAAGAATTCAAGGGTGGAACAGTGCGACAAATGCGTACAGGTCAAACAAAATGAGAAGACAGAAAAAAATCTATTTATTACTTTTATCGGAGTGATCTAAATGTAAGTTTATGCACGTGAATATCAAGCTACCAATTTACGAAACTACGAGAAATTCCGATAGGTAAGCTGCTCGCAAGGACGCTTCAAGACGACGAAACGCAAACCGGACATGCAGTGTGTGGTCTCGGCGGATGAATCATATCAATAGATTGACGTTTTGTTGTCGTCAGTGGAGAGGTAAGCGACCACTGAAGATTGTTCAAACCGTCAACACATGTCGAGGGAGTCATCGTATTAAAAAAAAAAAGAGTGAGGCATGCAGACAGAGACGCACGAAAACGAAAACAAACAATTGATATCAGAGCCTCCTCGCCTTACTGTTTTTTTCTTTTATAGGTACAGTGAATATCTAATAAGTACTATGTTCTACCTACTATCTTTGCTTGGTTGCTGACACTGACGTCATGGGTTCGAGTTCAGCCAGGACAGTCGCAGTTTGGTGGTGGTGAATCGTCTGGGACCAGTGTACTCGTAATATCTGTGCGCGTTAAAGAACACCGTGTGGTTGAAATCGTGGGAGACCTTTATTATGGCTTGCCTCATCTTCATATCATGGATTCGGGACGTATTACATCACAGATTGTGATCAGTATCAATGAACTACCTTTCTGAAGACACATATATAGTTGGTAAATGTACACGGAAACAACGTGATTCCTGGTATTAAAATAATAGCATTTTTCAACGAGGAACTAATGGTGTAGCTGACGCTTCATGACGTGGTTACGTACGCGGCATGTATGAGTTCATAAGTACGGAAATAGCTTCCAGAGAGCGTTGGATGTCCCGGATTATCACGATAAGTGCGTTAGTGCACATGGTAGCGGGCCCATTGACGTGGTCGTACTTAGCAGCTTGAGACGTTAACCAAACATGTTTTTCGCACTATATTCGATTTCGTACTACATCAGGTACAACGCTAACAGCAAGCGAAACTTCTTGCAGCAGATGTGTTCGAGCCAAGGAATAGGGTGTGTGTGGGGGGGGGGGGGGGGGGATGGGGGGAATATACTACCCCGTTATTTATACGGTTGTCGATAGGCTGTTCTGTACAGTTTAGCGTGTCTCTATTTTTTCCTTTAGTCTTCCATGATTCTGAGACCTTGAAGCTCGAACATGGAACCAACCGATCATGACATCCGAATCACTTTATGTCCATGCCCCACAAACACCATGGGTTGAAACCGAGTCACCTTTGAATTAATGTCGTATATTTTCGCATAGATACCAAAGTTCTACCTCTTCTGAAGATTGTCGTCGACGTGCTTCTCGAATAATCATTCCAAATCCCATTAAAGGTTGACCCATACACCGAATAGGGCAAATGCCTTCTTTCAAATGGCACCATTAGCTGAGATTTGCAAACTTGTGTCCATGTGCTTCAAATTATCGATGAATTCGCCCTCTCACTGTCAATTGCTAGGTTCTTGGTTAGCTCAATCGGCAGAGCGACCACCCCGGCTAAGCGTTGGTCTCAAGTTCGAGCCCCGGAACAGAACAAATTTTTTGGCAACTGAGAGGCTTTCTTTCTGGAAAATCCGTATGAATTCCCTTGAGGCTTTGTGCTACAAACGGGTGGTTGTCTTCTTTTCCTTTTTAGCTTTCGTCTTACATCAAATTTTCCTAGATGATTTATCGGGTGAAAGAGGGATTTGTGTAAGACGAAAAATTGCAGACAAGTGGATGCTTCAGCATGGCAATGCCCTGTGTCTCCCGGCCCCTTCCACCAGGAAAGTTTTCACCTAAAAACTCATCAACGTGATTCCTCAACCCCCCTATTCACCTGATTTGAGCCCTTGTGTCTTTTTTTCTTTTCTAAAATTGGAACAGGCCTGACAAAGACGTCCTTTTGGAACTCCAGAGAGCATTCATAGGACAGTGACCGTCCAGTTAATAGCCATACCGTTTTAAACTTCCAGCACTGCTGCCAAGAGTGGGAAAAAGGACTCCGCCTGTGTATAGCTGCACAATAGATACTGTGAAGCGTATAGCATTGTTATTCGAAAAAGCTAAAAACTTTGGTGAGGACATGGTTGGTCTCTTTACTTTTCTACCATACCCCGTGCCCCGCCGCGGTGGTCTAGTGGCTAAGGTACTCGGCTGCTGACTCGCCGGTCGCGGGATGAAATCCCGGCTGCGGCGGCTGCATTTCCGATGGAGGCGGAAATGTTGTAGGCCCGTGTGCTCAGATTTGGGCCCGTTAAAGAACCCCAGGTGGTCGAAATTTCCAGAACCCTCCACTACGGCGCCTCCCATAATCATATGATGATTTTGGGACGTTAAACTCCACATATCAATCAATGAATCACCTTGTATAGCTGAGGCGTGTGTGGGACACTTGCTCTAAAGGGATAACGTGTACACAGCTTGCAGCCTACAATCTCAACTTACGCCTCCATTATTATCTTTTTAAACGCACGCGAGGTGCCGTGAGTGCATATTTTGGCTGACATTAGGAAACCCCTCCTGGCGCACACTGTGCGTAAGTTCACTATCGCATGTTTTTGCGCGTCGTCCACAGATAATGTCTTCCTGTATCGCCTCGACCTTGTGCGATTCAATTGTCCGAAAACGTGCAGCGAGGCATGTTTGAGCAAAAGGCTGCCAAATGTTTGTTGTTTTGTCTGCACCTTGCTAACAGGATTACCCACATTGAAGACAGTAGAGGGTGCTGCGCTAGACTATCATTGTCCTTCAGCAATGGACCTGGCAAGCGTGTTATCACAGCGAAAAGCTTTGGGTGGCCTTGTTTACAAAACGTGACCCCGTGGGCCTTTTGGAGGCTAAATCACGACAGCGGCGGAGAAGCTACTGTAGAAGCCTCGATTTGGTATAGCTGTTCACTGCAGACGATGTATTCGGTTGATGTAATTATCTCAGCCCGAGTTTTCTGTGCCGATTATTTACGCGGCTACAACGAAATGTTGGGCAAGAAAAACATTTCGTTGGTTGACCGTTTTTTGGTACGTTAACTTCCTGCGGTAGTAACTACGATTGGTTGAGATTATTCACGATACGGACGATGCCGCACTGTTTTACTATCTTCAAAGAAATCAGTTCTTTAAGTCAGACCGGCACGTTTCTTTAGGAAGAAGCGATTTACGACTCGGACCAGTACGTCCACCTTTCTTCTGCTATTTCACGGTAGAGCTCTCACCTTCAATCACATACTTAGCAAACGATCTCTACGAACTTCCAATCTCGGAGACTGGAAGGGCCACGGTCCGAGTGCACCGGAACTGCCTGCGAGAGAATCCCATACGTTCACTGGCTGGTTGAACTGCTTTGAGTAAACGTACAAGGCTTCAACGTCATACCTAGAACGTTCACATCTTTTAACTACCATGCCACCAGATCTTGAAACACAAACGTGCTCAAGAAGTAGTCTCAGTTGTCACAAAGTCAATGCCCAGAAAACTGAAATTCGGAGCGAGAAGCAAGTCCGACACGTTGCATCAGGGGTCAAGGTGCTCGGCTGCTGGCCT